ATATATATTATAATCTCTTACTATCTAAAAGTGACAAATCCTCTATTGGTCAGTTACAACCTTTATACGATTCTTGACATACTTGAACGATGTCATATTAGCGGCCATTGGCAGAGCAACATCCAACATCACCATAGTATGAGTGTCCTCATATAAAGCACCATGATGGCCTCAAGTCAAAGTATCAATTCCATTACTAAACGTTAAATATTAACCACTGACACTCAGATAGTTATCCATGTGGAATCTCTCGACGGGTCTCCAATGTTTGTTCTATAAAAAATATAAAAAAATTCACGTGTTCATTTTAGTATCACTATACTTTAAGTTGTGAGATCAGCTACTTACTTACAAGTAAGAAATGTCAAACGTGATGGTCTATTCGTAATAATGATATCCGTATCTCGTCATTAATTAGGACCACGGATGATTTAAGATTCAATCATTTATAATTTGTATCTTACAATCACAACTCCTTGTGATTAACAAATTACTGATATTTGAAACTACGGACTCCATTATTTAATTCAATTGAATATTAATTAATTAATTAATAAATTTTCCACTTATCGCATCAACTATATATTAAAAGTGTTTATATTCAAATTCGATCGGACCTAGGGCATAACACTACAAAACCTTATATAAAATTTGTAATGCACAAATGTGTAATGGTTGAGCTCAAATCTTAACGTATTATAAATAAAGAATGATTAAGATTAATATAGAAAATATGAATAATATTTTAATATTAGGAGGATCTCCGTCGAATCCATGAAAACTAAGGAACGCACCTTACTGATTCCGAGAGTTTAGAATCTAAATTTAAAAAATTAGGGTGTGTTTGATAGGGTGTTATTGGAATTGGAATTGGAATTGGAATTGGAAAATGGTATTGGAATTGAATTTTCCAATTTTAGGTGTTTGATATTTTTTTTTCCATGAAATTAAAATTCTTGATTTTCTTGAACTTTGGAGTTTTCTTGATTTTTAGAAAAAACCAAGTCCCTCCATCACGCGTGCGTGAGCACGCGTATATATATTGAAAATAAAATTTATCCCTAATTTAAAAAAAATATAGTTTCATTTAATTGATAATTTTCATGTAAAACAAAATCAAACGAACACCAAAAGATAGATGATTTTCTTGGCTTTTTGATTTTTTTTTGGCAATGGAAATAAATTCGATCCCCAATACCATTAAATTATATCCATTTAATTGACAATTTTCATATAAAATAGAGCCAAACGAATATCAAAAAGAACTTTCAATTCAATATTTTTCAAATGAAAAATTATATTGATCAAACATAATAATATACATTTCTCAGGAAGACAATTTTAGACAATTCAATTCCTTGAAATTCGTTTTTCTATGTAATTCAATTCTATCTTTATAATCAAATGAACCCTTAATGTCAAAGTATAACAGAACCAATGACATGATTGACCTTTGATATCTTATTTCAACAATCTAGTCAAAATATGCAACAATTAATACGAAAATATTAAATTATGAAAAACAATTAAATACCATAAATTTAAAAAATAAAAATAAAAATACATATGTTTTAGCATAAAATCAAAGAGTTGATAGGTTGTGATTCTGAGTTTAGGTCGTTAACTTGTTTTAATTTTAAAAAGTATAAACAGTAATTCAAATCCATTGTTATGGACGTAAAGTCAGATTGCTGATCAAAACTTGGCTAGATTGTTGTTACATTCACAATTTTCTTGAATTAATGTAGAGTACACTTGAGCTAGTACCTTAATGTTTGCCAAAGATTAAATGTAACCAGGGACGGATCCAGAATTGGATCCACGACTGGGCTACAAAATTTCAAACTGGGCTATTACGTGGGAAAAAAATTTTTTTACACATAAAAAACTGATTTTTTACCCAAAAAAAATAAAAAATACCTTAAAAAAAACCCAGGCTGTTTATCTTTGAAAGCTAAGATAATTCTTCATTCCATGCTAGAAAAATAAAATTAATCTCATGAAATTTTTTCAAAAATAAAAATATAATCTTGCTGTGTCCTACTTTTCTCCATTACGAGGACAAAGCAATTTGATAAAGACAAGGATATTAACACCAGTGGAGACACAATTGCACGGTCTCGACAATTTCAGTAGTGGAGAATTTTGTATGACTATGTATTAATGACTTGTATAAGAAATATAATTTAGCATTTCGATTTATATATAAAACATTGTACACCAAATTAACACCGTAACCTTGAAAAATAAAAATAAAAACTAGAAAATAAGAATTTTCACTTGTAAATGCGTCGAAAATATATAACTACATAACTAATTTAGGCCCCGTTTGGTATACATTTTTTTCAAAATGTATTTTTCTCTCTTTTCTTTTCAATCACACATTATTTATTAAAATAATATTACACGTAAATCAAAATTTTTTTCTTATTTTTCAATCATACATTTCACATCAATTTACTATTCTAAAATATATTATTACAAAAAAATTATTATCAAACACCGGACTGCAATCTCTAGTACCAAATTGGTCTACTTGCCCTACAACCACTATTTATAGTCCTAATAATTAACAGCTGTTAACAGACAATTTCAGGTGCAAATTGGCCCGTTTGGCTCTATTTTGTGAAAAAATTAACGTGTGGAATAATATTTTTTTGAAAAATGAGTAGTTAAAAAAATAAAAAAAATTTGATTTATTAATAATAATAATAAAACAAAAACCAAAACCGAGCTCAGCCCATCTCGGCTCGGAAAAGTCCGAGTCGAAAGCTCAAGTTGACCTAGGGATGGCAAAAATGCTCGTTGGCTCGGATCGCTCGTGGCCCTGCCCGCAAAAAGCTCGAGCCGGCTCGACTCAAGGCTCAATTTCACCGAGCCCCATCTTGGGTACAGGCCAAGCCGGAGCCGGCCCGTGTGGCTTGAGGGCCGACTCGAGGAAAAAAAAAAAAAAAAACGGAAAGGCAGCGTGGCTGCCTCCTTTAAACAAAGGCTTGCCTTTCCAAGAACAATTTTCTCTCGCAAAAGTACGTAATTTTTTAATCATTAGCCTTTCATTTTGTTCGTTGTTATGACTGATTAATTAGTCTCTCGTTATCTGAATTCGTTAACAGAATAAAACCCACTAATTAGTTTTTTATGGGATTAAATTGAAATAAAGTTTTTGATTTGTTTTATTATCTTTATATTTCTTGTTTCAGTTAGTTGCATCATATTGTTAGTCTGGTTAGTTTCCTATCTTTCATTAAACGCACATGATTATATGGATCGTCGATTGAGTTATCTAAATATAATTGTATGTTTTCTTTTTTGGCTGTAGGATGAAATATTGGTATAATATTCTAATTCAAAATATATATATAGTTTCCATAGTTTTCGACGCCTTTTTAAATTAATTGTTGGTCACAAAGCTTTAAAAATATTTTATAAAAAATTGTGTGATTGAAAATATGAAAAAAAAAATGGAATGAAAATTAATAGGAGCTAAATGGGTCGAAAAAACCCCTGCAGTCCATTTTGGCCTTTTTCAGCCAACTTTCATTGACTTTGACACCAATTAAAACTGACAACAATCATGCTAGACGGGCAGGGCTGACATGGCCCTCTTTGAACAGCTTTATTCAACTAACAATAGTATTTAATGATGGACGGATCTAAGTTTGCTGGCCAAATATGTCAAAATCAATTAAAGTTCTCGTTGGTACTCTATTGTTGTTATTGGTTCATCGTTATAAAATATTTTTAGAAATATAATTGGGCATAACATGTGAGTCGAATTCAATTTTTTCATTGGTTCATAGTTATAAAATAGTTTTAGAAATATAATTAGGCATAACATGTGAGTCAAATTCAATTTTTTCATCTATTTTTTTGGTCATGTCGATGGTCAATCTCTAGATTACTTTTTCGTGGTATTTGGTGTTAGGAATGCCTTAAGTCGTTATTGCAACAATTTTATCCTAATTTTTCTTATAGATAGGAAGTTATCATTAGAATGTAAGATTATTATCATCAGAAGAGAGGTTACAGAAAACAAAGTTTGTGATATTTCATTTATAAACTTCTTTTGATCATAATAAATTACTGTAACAGTGAAAGAGGACGTAATTTCACATTGAGACAAACCTTTATGAACTTGAATATTCTTGTGTTTCTATTTTTTCTGCAATTTTTTTCTTTGTAATCAGTATATAAAATTAATGTTTCTAATTTTCAAAGAAGTGGACGAAATTTTGTTCAGGACATGATTGAAAGAAATGGGTGAACAAATTTAGTATCCAACATGTTTGGTATGTACAATAGGTCAAAGGTGTAAAATAGACCATATTGAACTCGCGTAATATTTTGACAATAAATATGTATTGTTTTTGTCTTTTTCTTTTTCTTTTCAAGTGTAGGTTAGAGTGAGCCACCAATGAGGACCCCTACTAAACCACCAAACTACCCCATCATGCTTGGACAGTCCAATCAATTTGACACTCCTTATATAGCCCCCACACTTCTTTTATACTTTTTGAAGAATATTCATACGAAAGAACTGTTAAAATCTATCTCACTGCCATAGTCTTCAAGTCTATTTGATTATATTGATGCCACAAACCTAGAGTATCAAATTTTATAATTGGATTATTTAAAATACAGTCAGGTTGTTCATCAAATCATCTGTTGTCACCTCGAATTATGTTACTGCATCTGTTAAATTTCTTCTGACAAAGTAGCAAAATCCTATACCGACTTCTACACATCAAACATGAAATGAGGTCCGAAACCGTGTTTAGGAGGGCTATACGCTAGAAGGATCTTAGAACAACAAGTTCTATCTACTTTGTGACCTGTCCACTCTAAACTGGGCCACTGGGATTTGCCATGGGCAAACACGTCTTTATCAATGCACATGAAATCCTAACCACCGTCTATATGATCCAACGTCACTTATTGATTTAATTTCCTCAAAAGATACAGCCAGCTTGCAACAACTAAGCACAAGGTGTTGTTCTTCCCTACAAATAAATACCCCAATATTGCACAACATTTTCACTCATTCATCTATTGAAACATGGCATTTTTTCAAGACAAGTTACTCATTTTAAGTTTCTCGATTTTTTGTATGATGATCGAGGTTTCTGCGCTTGGTGCAGTCTATACACCTCCAAATGTAGAGCGATTAACCGATCGTTTCAATCGTGTACCGGTTAACGAAAGATATAATGTTGCTTTTGGAGGATCTAATGTTCATATGACCAATAATGGGACCAATGCTAATTTAAGTTTGGACAAAAAATCAGGTAATTTAAATAAGAAAAACAAATGATTTATATTGTATACTTTGGTTTTTTAGGACATAGTTCATTTTCTCTTTCTGGGTTTTTTTCTAGGATCTGGATTGATGTCAAAGAACAAATACCACTATGGATTCTTCAGTGCTGCAATGAAAATGCCTGCTGGTTTCACATCAGGAGTTGTGGTAGCCTTCTATGTAAGTTTTTCCAATTCATGTGCGCCGGTTTCTACGGGCGTTCTTGGCACACAGCACTGAGTAGAACTGTATAATGACAAGATTATAACTTCATAATTTTTATAAGAATCGATGCATTCTGACATGACCAATTGCGATTCGTGGAGAGACAGTAATGAATTCAACAGAGTCGTAAAAAAAGATACACAGATTTGAACCCAAGTTTATCAAAAATACTAGTTAGTTTGCTCTTCTGCACGGAGTTCTTGGATCAGACTGATGATCATGTTTCTAATGGTAAATTTTTGTTTCTATTGCCATATGCAGTTGTCTAATGCAGATGTTTTGCCCCATAACCATGATGAAATTGATATTGAATTGCTTGGCCACGAGAGGAGAAAAGATTGGGTTCTGCAGACAAATATATATGGCAATGGAAGTGTGAAAACTGGAAGGGAAGAGAAATTCTACCTCTGGTTCGACCCAACGACAAGTTTTCACGAATACAGTATCCTCTGGAACAATCATCACATAGTGTAAGTCGATCCATCCATGACATTTTTGGTACACAGTACTCAACAGACTCGATACTACAGAATTATTGGTTATTAATCTTCTAACATTTTCCATGGGACTGAAAATACAGGTTTCTAGTAGACAATGTACCAGTAAGAGAAGTAATTCACAACACCGTCATATCTTCTGTTTATCCATCGAAACCAATGTCAGCATACACAACAATTTGGGATGGATCAGAATGGGCTACTAAAGGAGGAAAATACCCCGTAGATTATAAATACGCGCCTTTTGTCGCATCTCTACAAAGTACAGAAGTCGAGGGCTGCATTTTGAATCAAAAAAGCAACGTAGCCTCTTCGTGCACTCGAAGCAGCCTTTCGAGTTTGGATCCTGTTGATGGAGAAGAATTTGCAAAATTATCAAGCCAACAAATAACAGGACTGCAGTGGACTAGAGGGAAGCACATGTTTTATTCATACTGCAAAGATACAGCCAGATATAAAGTTCTACCACCAGAATGCAATGCCAAATAAAGGGATTTATATATTTTTCTATATAATTTTTGTAACCTTTTTAAAGAGAATGAATGATCAATAATGTGGAAAACTAAATAGTGTAGATCAAGATTTTTTAAAATGAAAGAGGATGTAAAGAATTCTTGGAGCTTATACTCATTATAAAGGTGATGATTACATTTGTATATTTCATGTTTTCAGTATGGATGATGACTTTTTTACCTTGAATAATATATTTGTTGGCCATAACATTTAGCCCCTGTTTGACGTTCATTAATGGAAAAAAATGAGTATTATAGTGATTTTTTGAGAATGTATGTCAAACAGGTAGTGATTTTTTTGAGAATGTATAGTTAAAATGTGTGAAAAGGTTTTTGAAATACATGTATTATTATTTTATGGAAGAATGTGTGGTTGAAAATGAGAATTGAAAAAATGGGGCTCAAACATGACCTTAATGTTTGGATTAGTGTAATTTTTTTTATTTTTTTTTTTACGTGAAAAATTTTTTTCTTTTTTATTGGTAGGTAGATGAGAGAGAGAGAGAGAGAGAGAGAGAGTAAATTACATAGAAAATAAAAACATACACTCCCTAAAGAAAACATTTTCCTTGTTTCAAGAAAAATATGATCATGTGAACAAAAGTAGGAAAATATTTTCCATGAAAAAAATCAACCAAACAACAATGGAAATTTTGGTGAAAAATTGATATTTTCATGGAAAATATTGCAATCAAATGAAATTTTAGTCTAATCAATAATCTCCAGCATTTAGAATCAATTGGCGACTTAGGTACTAAAAGGTTGTCGAGGGAATTGTCCCACCATTTTGCTGGCGAAGTCGAGATCATGTTGACAGATTTTGACCACAACAATAATAAAACTTCAGCAACTGCAGGAACAAGTGAATGTAGTATAATGGAGTGATAGTGAAGTGCACGAGCATGCTTGAAATGAGATATGCTCGACGAACTAGGCTTAGAATTGATTCCAGCTTGATTCTGGATGATATCAGGTAAATTACATTTGCGCCATGAGTTATACTTTAGGAGAAAATGATGACAATACCATACATCATAATGTCAAAGGCAAAAAAAGAGAAGCGTAAAATGGCAGCCGCAAATAGATATATTCATTAATACACGAGAAGAATCTGCTTCGATTTTAGCAGGTTGAAGCTTTACTTTGTAGAGAAGTAGTTCAAACTAGGGGTGTAAGCGGTTTGATTTTACCGATTTTTGACAAATTTTCAAACCAAACTATTGAAACCGATTTGGAAAAACACTAACCTAAACCAAACTATTTTAAACGGTCTGAAAAAAACTCAAACCTAAACCTAACAGTTTGGCCCGATTTTAAACCGTCGATTTCGCTGTATATTTTTTTGCCTGTCTACTTTTACGCCATTAATTTAATATATATTTATATCTTACTAGTTACTAGCAATAAATCTAAAACAAACTAAATATATTTACTATAAATTTAAGTACCAACTAAATCAAACTGAAATAACAGTAAACTTAAACATAGTTTTTTGTTCGCCATTTTTAAGCTAATGGTGTTAAGATTCCATTACAATAAAAGTCTACTGAAAATGTAATCCCTATTGGATACAAATGAATTTTTATAAAAAAGAGAAATGAAAATAATGAAATTACAAGATAAAAACCCGAATTGTAGCTCAAAGTTTCTCACAACAACCAGGAATTGATAATGATGAAACATATTCTCCCGTAATGGACATCATCACTTTCAGATTCTTAATTAGTTTGACTATGTCACAAAATCTTGATATGCACCTTATAGATATATTAATTGTCTATTTGTACGGTTCACTTGATAATGATATATATATATGAGAGTTCCCGAAAGACTTGAAGTTCCAGGAACAAATGATACATACCCGAGAATCATGTTCTCATTAAATTGCAAAAATCATTATATGAATTAAAATAATCCGGACGTATGTAGTATAATTGCATTATTGAATATTTGTTGAATGAGGGTTATAATAATGATGATATCTATCCATGTGTTTTTATAAAGAAAACAGATATTGAATTTGCAATTGTGGTAATTTATGTTGATAATTTAAATTTAATTGGAACTCTTGAAGAACTCAAGAAAACTGCAGATTATTTGAAAAATGAATTTGAGATGAAGGATTTGGAAAAAACTAAATTTTGTCTCACATTGTAGATTGAACATTTCGCAAATGGATTATTTGTTCACCAATCTACGTATATAGAAAAAGTTTTAAAACGTTTTTATATAGATAGTGCACATTCATTGGCATCACATATGGTTGTTTGATCACTTGATGTGAAAAATAATCTATTTCGTCCATTTGAAGATGGAGAAAAGGTTATTGGTCCTGAAATACCATATATTAGTGCAATTGGAGCATTAATTTATCTTGTAAATTGCACTCGATTTGACATAACTTTTTCTATAAACCTCCTTACAAAATATAGTTATACTCCAACTCAAAGATATTGGAATGGTGTTAAACATATTTTTTATTACCTAAAGCGTATTATTGATTTGAGATTATTTTATTTTAAAAAGTCGAGATTTGCTTTAGTGGAATATGCAGATGCAGATTATCTATCTGACCCACATAAAGCTAAATCACAAACAGGTTATATGTTTACACGTGAAGGAATGGCTATACCATGGTGATTTGTGAAACAATCCTTAACAGTTTCATCCTCAAATCATTTTGAAAGTATTGCAATCCATAAAACAGTCCAAGAATGTGTATGGTTGAGAAACATGACTCATCATATTCAAGCATCATATGGGTTAACTTCAATAAAAGATAATCCAACAATTTTGTATGAAAACAACGCAGCTTGTATTTCACAACTTAAAGGATGCTATATCAAAGGTGACAGAGCGAAGCATATTTCTCCAAAATTCTTTCATACACATGAGTTTTGAAAAAATGGCAACATCGATATTTAACAAATTCACTTAAGTGACAATGTGGCCGATTTATTCACAAAAACATTGCCAACATCTACATTCAAGAAATTTGTTCAAGGATTGGAATGCATCGACTCAAAGATTTTCAGTGATTTTCATCAGTGGAAGTATCTGTACTCTTTTTCCTTAGTCTAGATTTTGTCCAACTAAGTTTTCCTAGCAATGTTTTAATGAGTCTGCATTTTCTTTATACTCCAAAATATTGACAATCAACTTTACTTTTTTTCCTTTGTTTGATTTTTTTCCTACCGAGTTTTTATTAAACAATGTTTTTAACGAGGTAGCTATTGTGCAAATAATCACCAAAGGGGAGTGTTGTAAAATAATAAGATAATTATTGATGATTTTTTAGTATTATCGTGATATATGAATAAATTTTATCTAGTTTAGAAGATCTATTTTATTCCAATTTGTAACTCTTATTTTAAACCCTATAAATATAGGGCATTGATTCATAATAATAGATAATTGAATTTTGACTCTCTATTTCTTCTCTTATTTTCTCTCATCTCTTTAGTTTTATAACAACACTTAAATTTTGAAGCAACCCTTTTCCCATCAATCACTATTCATAATAATAAGAAATTTCCCCTGGAGTTGGCTAGACTTATTATGGAGTTGGGTTGTCCAATGGAAATATGGAATCATTGGATAATTTCCAAAATAAATGAAAATAGGAGAGTGCGCGTAATAAAGCGACAACAACATCATATATTAACTAAAGGAGCAAAATAAATAAAATTGCAATAAATCAAGAAAATTTCCCAGAAAAAATATACGAGCTTGAATGCGAAAAAAAATATTTTTTTCATCAATTATAGATTGCAGCATAATCCTTCAACATTTTCGACTGCTTACAGGATAGAAATGTGCCTAGCATTGCACTTGTATAGAAAACAGAAAGATATTGTCATCAACATCAAGGAGATACACAGGAACAACCTGAATTATTGACAGTTTTCTCAATGAAAACAATTAAAGAGAGAGTTGCAAGAACCTCACAACCATGCCGGATTCTTCAGATGAGTAACGACAGCCTTCACTTGCAAGTAATTCTTGAGACTGTATTCTCCCTTTTCTCTTCCATGTCCACTCATCTTGTAACCACCGAAAGGAATTGTTGCATCGAAAACATCAAAACAATTGATCCAAACAGTCCCAGCTCTCAATGCTCGCATCAAGGTGTTAGCAGTGTCGAGGTTCTGAGTGAAAACGCCAGCAGCTAATCCATACCGAGTATTGTTTGCCCGTCGTATCACTTCATCAAGATCCCTGCCATTAAATTGGGAAAATTACTCAAAAGAGCCTTTACAATTTGAAGATCACAGCATAAAAAAATTATTCGAAACGTACTTAAATTTCAAGATAGACTGCACTGGACCAAAGATTTCTTCTTTTGCTATTAGCATGTCATCCTGATAAATTGCAGTATGTTAGTATTGATTAGCAAACATGTCTAACTAAGCTTAAAAAGTTCGCTTATAAATAAGTTCTAAAATAAATAATTAAATTTTTTTTTTTTTTTTAAATTTGAAAGTATGTAAATTACTTATTTTGACGACAACATAATAGTTACTTTCAAAATTAGTAACTTCGTTTGCTTAAAAGTAAGGAAAAGGTAATTTGTTCAAACATGTTTGGAAAAGTAAATATTGATTATAAGTAACTTTTTAAGCTTAACCAAAGTCCAAGCCTGCTCTAGATATTGAGCTTCATGGAAGAAGCCTAACAAAAAGACTCTTACTGGTTCAAAATGACATACCTTGACATTAGAGAAAACTGTTGGCTGAATGTAGTAGCCTTTTGTACCCAATTTATCACCTCCAGTCTCAAGATTCGCTCCACTTTCTGTACCAGATATAATATACCTCAGAATCTTTTCAAATTGCTCTGCATCAATCTAGTGTTCATGAAGATGAAGCATTAAGGCTCATTGGACAAGAAAGCAAGAATCAAATTCATGTACGCTTTCATAGGAGATTACATAACAATAATCAGCATGGAACTTTATTGATGACAACATGGCAGGTACGAAGGTCATACACACAGAAATATTATCAACTACAAGGAGCTCTATGCAAAGCATGTGTTTACAGTTTACCTGAGGGCCTTGTTCTGTTCCAGACTTGAATGGGTCACCAACAGTGCGTTTCATAGCACGGGCCTTTGCTTTCTCCACAAACTCATCATAAACTTTCTCGTGAACATATGTCCTAGATCCAGCACAGCAGCATTGTCCCTGCATTCATTCCATATCACAGTTTAAATTGTTTTCCATTATTCAATCTCATTTACGAATATCACATGGGAACTGTAGGCACCTGGTTGAAGAATAGAGCAAAGTGAGCTAGCTCAACGGCCTTGTCCACATCGGCATCCTCACAAACAATAAAAGGAGATTTCCCGCCAAGTTCCAAAGTAACGGGTTTAAGATTGCTTTTGGCAGCCAATTCAAGAATAACTTTGCCAGTTTCCGTCGATCCAGTGAAAGCAAGCTGAAAAAGTAGAGCAAATACATCAAGGTATGCAAGAGTATAATAAATACATGAAGTCTACTCGAACCTT